CATGGTCCTGCAATGTAACAGACATATTTTAAGTGCAAATAATCCATATAGTGCCTCAATCATTATGAGATCATGAAGACTGTATGTTTATGTTTACTAATGCTGAAAATCTCTCATTATGCAGAGGGTCCACACTGTAGGACTGAAACGGCTAATGTTTATTTGGAATGACGACCATTTAATTGACAGCAGGACAAAATGCTTGACTTTTTAAGCTTATAAATGTCTTTAGTTAATTTTCTTTGAACTCCTGGTTAGCAAATCTTCAGATATACCTAAATAGAAATGGATTTAGTCAGCTCATATGACTCACAGAATGTAGACTTATATTATATTATAGGTTTTAAAAGCACACCCTAATTAGATAACACCAACATTTAATTTGTTTTCCTGTCCACAATGTTCATTTTAAATTTGATTAACGACTTATGATTTATGAAATGTAAACAGTTTGAATAGATATTGTTTACAGACAGTTTGCGAGGGAAATTTAGTACTGTACAATTACGTGTCAGCTTCGCATGAAAAATTGTATTTTACTCATGTTGATTTGAACCAAATGAAACATGATGTAATGATATTCCATGACACATAACCATTACACAGTCAACTTAAAATACATAATTTCTGTATGAAAACAACAAACTGTATATACGAATATATTCGTATACCTCCACTGAAAAATCTCATGCCTGTATAAATAAACTCCAAATCTAGTGGAACCAAAATCCACAAAGGAGACGTTTTGTTCTTTTATAAGGTCAAAAATAAACAAACACGGATTATATTTAGCAAATACATAAATACAGACCTGCAGCGAAATGCAGAGGGGTTGATTTTCGTCCGGCCATGTCTTTGGCGTTCACATTCACCGAGTCCACCAGCCTCTTCACCCGCGACACATCTCCGTTCCGACAGGCCTCGAACAGCTCTCTGAACGCCCCGCCAGCCCCGCACACTCCGTCCCCGGGACTGGCCGCACCTGAGCCGGGGCTCTGGCTGCCTGCGGTCGCGCTGGAGCTAATGCTGCTGCAGCTGGAGCTGCCGAGCGCGGCCTCTGCTGTTGCTGGGGCGGGCCGGTCTGGGGAAGAGGCGGAGGAGGCCGCTGCGGACTCCATCGTGGCTCCGCCGCATTCCGCTGCGCCAGTGGCCGAGGGGCTCAATAAAGTCGTCGATTCGGGAATAATCGCGGACGGCGATTCCGGTGGGGGGAATGCGATAACGGCGTTCCGCGGAGACGGCTGCAGGCTGCTTTGTTGGTGCTGTGAGGATCGACGGGACACCGCCATTTTCCCCACGAAGCTCCGTCTGTCAACAATAACAGCTGGAGCCGCTGCGCTTCCGCTCAGTGCGAGAAGGCTTCCGGTTGGAGGCTATGCGCTACTGTTTCTGTTAAATATTTTCGTTTCTTTCACTCCACATTTAAATTGATTTTAATGTCATTAAAGTATGATACACAACTTCACATTTATGAAATTATAGGGACCGCGAATGAATACTATCTATCTATCTATCTATCTATCTATCTATCTATCTATCTATCTATCTATCTATCTATCAATCTCTGTCTGTCTGTTATTTTAGTATCATTGAGATACTTACAGGTTTTTTTTTAATAATTTGAATTAAAGTTAGCAGTTTTGTTGTTTTGTCATTTGTATTAGGCTACTTATTGTTTTTAATACGTCTACAGTGTTTTTAAACTATTTTTTATATTTTAGTTTTAGTTATTAGCGAAATAGCTAGTTAAAATAAATGTAACTAATTAATATTGCTTTGGCAACAAGCTGAAATAAAATAAGTTTAAGATCTATTTATATCTATCTATCTATCTATCTATCTATCTATCTATCTGTCTGTCTGTCTGTCTGTCTGTCTGTCTCTGTCTGTCTGTCTGTATGTCTGTCTATCTATCTCTTTAGACCAGGTGTCTGACTTCACATTGAAACTGAAAACAATGTTACACCCAAAAGTTTGGCCCAGGGTGAAATGATCTTCTCCTCCACCTCTTTATATGACACACCCCTTTGTGGACATTCAAACTCTTCTGGTATATGGGGCCCTGTTGCTACGGAAACAACAACAAAAACCTCCACTGGCACTATAGGACAAGGTTGTTTGGGTGGACAGAAATGTTATCTATGATATTTTAACAATACATATATTAGTTCAGGGCCTACTTATGCTCTCTTGGTTGTTTTGAGTGTAAATGAACAAAGATTGTGAGTGTTTTAGTGCATTGTGTTATTAATATGTAGCTGGAGAGATGTCTGGTTCCTCTCGTGCTACAGAGACGGATGGGAATCAAGATTCCTATCTGAAGAGGTGAGTTAAGCTTATATACTACATTTCTAATACATTAAACAAAAAAAGTTTTTATTATAATGAAATATGGCAGACTGGTATCTGTAAATAAAATGTAGGTTGCTGTGTTATAAATGATATAATTTGAGTATCCATTCACAGGTATTACAGAACCCTTCCAGAAGAGAAAAGATTGATGCTTGAAAAGTCTCTGATGGTATGTTACATTCATTAAAGAAATTCAGTATAAAAAATTGTTATTATTTGAATTGAATGAAAGTAGAAAGGAACTGAGACAGTCAAGTTATGCATTTAATTAATAATAATTTATGCATTTAGCAGACGCTTTTATCCAAAGCGTCTTACAGTGCATTCAGGCTATACATTTTTTACCAGTATGTAAGTTGAGTTCTTAGGCATTTTTATGAAAGTTTGTTCATTTTTGGAGAATAAATGAAGACATTTTCATTTTTGGATGAACTATTCTGATAAAATTTTTTAAAAATAGGTATTGCAACTTATTTGAGAAATGATAACAAACATGCTTTCTTCATGCAGAATGCAAATAATGACCAAGCGCACGTCAGTGGTCTTGGGAAGGGACGTGTTGGTGGTTCCAGACAAGGTAAGACGTCCAAATAAATTAAAAATCCAACTTTAACATCAGATGTGGGTAATGTTTATGTATTTTTCTGTGTGTGCAGTTCCTGGTCCAAAAAAAGATACTAAACACAGGACTGGGGCAGATGCTGAAGATAATGAAGACAAAGAATCCAAAAAATCCTCCACGTGCATTATGTTATAACATTGCTTATCATACAGAAAATCATTAAGACTTACCTCACTGATAAACACTTGCCAGTCATAATCATTTCAGTGGATAGAACTTATTGGAAAATGCAAATTGAAATGCCATATTACCATATTGATTTTGTTGTATTAACAGTATTATTTTTATTCCTTAACATTGTTTAATGTTTTTTCCCCCTCTATTTATTAAGGCGTTATGTGACAACTGATGATGACACTGTGTCACTTCATAAGTTCAGGTTTGAAAATAAACATTAGGCATGGAAAACAGTATGAATCTATATTTTGGCCAGTTTAAAGCAATACTAAATGAGCATTTTGCTAAATTTCTGTGAAACGGGTTTGCAATAAACTTAAAGCAGCACTAGCAGATTCAATGTAGACCACAGTCTGTATACTGTAATATGGTGCTGGATTCACACCAGCGCACAGGCAGAAAAACAATTTTACCCATAGTGCCTTTTGCAACTTTGACTGTTCACACAGAGAAAGTGTGCCAAGTATGAGCAAATGGTTCAGTTTAGTGTGTTGTAAAACACAGCTAGACAGCAACACCTCTAAAACAGATGTGAAGATAATAAAATGTGAAGTAAACATGCTGCAGCTTCAGTTGCTGAACAATGTTTAGCCTGCCAAGATCAAATAAAAGATTTCAGATATTGAACTTATAATAAGTTGTGTTTGGTTAGTCATTACTTGCTTGTAATCAGTTTTACTGTATGCTCAAGTATACATAGATGAGACAGACCTGATCACAAGTGAAAAAACAAATAAAAGCATAAGGCCACTGACATTTTACAGGGGTCCCACACCTTTTGAGAAAGGCATTTCCACAAATTCTCCAGTAATTTGCGATTATTTAGGTATTAAAAACATTTTGCAGATTGCTATCACAAAGAACAACTTTTAGCTAATTAAATAATTTAGATCTGAGCATAAATACCATTAATTTATTCTTTAAAATTGTTTATTTGCAGTATGTTTTTTTCTGAATATTTTCCTGTTTAATGAGACATTTTGTGACAATTGATCAAATTTAAAAATCTGCATTACCTACTGTGACATTTTCTACTGCATTATCCAATGCTGTCTCGCATATAAGTTAAAGAAAATTACATACTAGAAAAAATAGACAATTTTTTTCCTTAACATTGTTTCTTTGCAGTATGCTTTTTCTTTTTATATATATATTTTTTCCTCTATTTAATAAGATGTTTTGTGATAATTGATGATAAAATTGAAATCTGTATGCCCTACTGGGACATTTTCTATTGCATTAACTAATGCTGTCTCACTTCACAAGTTAAAAAAAAATAGAAAATAAAATAGAAAAAGATATATTGACTATAGAAATTGCTTCTTAAGATTTCACTTCCTTAAAATCATAATTTATCCCTATTTCCAGGTTTTTATGGCTGTGGGAACCCTGAGTTAAAAAAAAAAAAAAAAACATGTAAATTTTGTCAGTAATTAATCACCATACTAGATACTGTATATCTGACAAGAAACAAATGTTAAAAAAGCACAAAAGTTTATTTGCTCTGAAAAATAAATGATCATGTCCTGAACTCAATATTACCCCAATCACACATTTATAATTTTGTCCTTTTTATACATTTTAAATTCAAAAACTGGAATCATTCAAACGCAAAAGCTTTTTCACCCAATGAATATTCTGGCAAATACAACTCTTCACAGAAAAGCAGTGCAGCCCATATGAAACTGGGATCTATAGCATTTGCAATGCATATTTATTTTTATTTATCCCCAATTTATAAATATCTTTCAAATGTATTTTAGCAGCAGTAGTATAAATAGACCCTCCTATACTTTTGTCAACAAGTTGACATATTTCCAGTGATGGGTGAACGAGAAGATCTTTGTGTTCAGTCACTGCTGTCATCACCCACCACCATGTGGCTGTACTTCTTCTGCTGTTGCTCCTTAAACGAATCCTTCACCTTTGCCCTCTTCAGACCCCCATCCCTGTGAGACACATAGTGATGTGTAAAGACACAAAACGATCGGTCTGTGCAAGAAACTGAACAGTATTTATATCGTTTTTTACCTCTGATTCACCGCAATGTCCGAACTGTCCTGAGCGCGTTCGCGTCTTCTTTTTCAGCCGGCGCGTGACGCGTCTTCTTCGTCTTCTTGCTTTATGGCGGATCGCAGACTTATAAGTGCATTACCGCCACCTATCTCTCAAATGGACCATTGACACTCCATCTACAATCTCAATTAGGAGTGTCAATGGTCCTCTTCGGTAAGCAGATAAACATCACATTTTCATTTTTGGGTGAACTATCCCTTTAAATTCAATCATTGTAGCTGCAAGACAGCTAAAGACAAACTCTTTTACACACCAGTCCAAGTCCACTAAACCTCCTTGTTGTGCAATGGTTGATTTCACCCTGTTGGCAAACTGCACAGCATCCTCTCCTTCCTGTGTGCACAGGAAATGAGTCAGTGAGGGCGTAATTAATCACATCAACATCGTGCTACAAAAGGCTACAGCTATTTTACACTTTACAGCTTGAGCTCTCACCTTCTGTGCCATTGGAGGCAGATACCAGACGTTGCAGACTATGGCCCAGCTCGTCATCATCCGCAGCAGATAGCTCACCATGCTATATTTACTGCTGTTCCAGAAAGCATCTCCAAACTGAGGGTCATACTATATATAACACACACACACACACACACAGACAGACACTGCATGAGGGTCATAGTAGGTCAATATACAAACACACATACACTATGAAGTTTATTGCAACATGGGACCAAAACACAATATACTTTGTATGTTACTGATTTATTTTCAATTGTATGTGAAAGTTAATTCATGATAATTATATTATTAATTTTATTTATTTGTAATAATTATTTTGATTAATTATCAAATCAATCAGTTGCTACAGGAAATATTTTTAGAATAATTTTGTATATAAAATCATTTAAAGGATATATTACAAATATAATATAGTATAATATCACACACACACACTCACACACACACACACACTATTGGCCACAAGTTTGGAGTAATTAATATTTTTTTATGTTCTTGACAGACAATAAGTCTCTTATGCTCACCAAAGCTGCATTTATTTGATACAAAATATAGGAAAAACAGTAATATTGTGAAATATTACTACAATTTCAAATAACCGTTTTTTTATTCGAATATATTTTAAACACAACATGAAACTATATATATATAGTTTCATGTTGTGATTTGTGCAGTTTATCAATTTTTCCATCTCTTCCTCATATTATATATATATATATATATATATATATATATAATATGAATATAAATATTTAACTTTAGATTTAATTTTGATAAAATTTACAGGTAGAATAGCATGGAAATTAATAGAAAGTTAGGGATCAATTCTGGATTTCTTTGGGGGGAAAGCATATATAATGAAAACTTGATATTTTAATTAATTTTCTTTTTTATTCTAGATTAAAATATAGTGGTGATGAATGGCAAACAGATGATATTCAGGCAAAACAACAACATTTTTCTTGCATTACAAACTGAACAGAGTTAAACCTGCCATGTAAGCTGACTAAGATTGAATTGGCTACTTAAAATATGTTATTGAAACGGCAAATAGTTTTGGAAATTAAAGCACATATTAATGCGTTATTCTGCATGACCATATTTTAGATCCCTTAATCCTACCCCATACCTAAATTTAACAACTACATTACCAACTATTAATAAGCTGCAAATTAGGAGTTTACTGAGACAGAAATAGTAGTTAATAGTTAATTAATAGTGAGAACTGGTCCCCAAACTAAAATGTGACCAGTACGGTCATAAAGATACAGACTGACATTAAACCAAAATATAGTATTGCAGAGATTGTCTGTGTTGGTTCGAATATATTTTAAAATGTAATTTATTCTTGTGATGCAAAGCTGAATTTTCAGCATCATTACTCCAGTCTTCAGTGTCACATGATCCTTCAGAAATCATTCTAATATGCTGATTTGCTGCTCAACAAACATTTCTTAATTTAATCAATGTTGAAAACAATTCATATTTTTTATAGAAACTACAATACACTACCATTCAGATGTTTTGGGTAATTAATTTTTTTAAGTAATTTTTACCTTTATTCAGCAAGGATGCAATAAACTGATTAAAAGGGACAGTAAAGACATGTCATATACCGTTACAAATTTTTTTTTTTAAATAAGTGCCATTTAATTAACTTTCAACAAATCAACAAATCTTGAAAAATGTGTCACCGTTTCCAGAAAAGTATTTAGCATAAGCATTAATAAATCAAAAACAATGAGTAACCATTATTAATAACTGACCATCAATCTGAGCAGAAAATCAGCATATTAGAACAATGAGTGAAGGATATAATGTAATAAATTACATTATAAAATATATTAAAATTAAATAAAATATTTTAAATTGTAATAATATATCAAAATATTACTATATGTATTGATGATCAAATAAATGCAGCGCAACAGAGAATCATTATTATCATTCACATTGCAACTTACTACAATGCATTTTTCAAGTCAACAAAAACAGTAAAAATGACCCTGTCTCCTTACAGCAGGTAATGTGCATAAAAGACAATTACTGATATATTACCTTTATAGCCACAGGGTATATAGTTCCTCCAATTTCAAAACTTCCCTTTTTAAACATCATCACTGATGTATTATTGATGCAAGTTCCTGCAGGGGCAACCAGGTGCAAGTATTAAACTTCAACCGTTGAGCTTTAGAAACAATGCCGTAGAGCAGGACCTGAAATACGACTGAAACTGTATCTCAGTGTGTTTCTCATTGTTATTATGCACTTACCCTCAGGGAAGATGAGTATTGGCAGCTTTGTTTTGTCATTTACATGATCTCTTAACCTGGGAAGGAAAACAAGAAAGATGAATAGACCAGCATGTAATCAAAGGCAGTATTAGGAAGAGATGGAAAACTTGATAAACTGCACAAATCACAACATGAAACTATATATATATAGTTTCATGTTGTGATTTGTGCAGTTTATCAATTTTTCCATCTCTTCCTCATATTATATATATATATATATATATATATATATATAATATGAATATAAATATTTAACTTTAGATTTAATTTTGATAAAATTTACAGGTAGAATAGCATGGAAATTAATAGAAAGTTAGGGATCAATTCTGGATTTCTTTGGGGGGAAAGCATATATAATGAAAACTTGATATTTTAATTAATTTTCTTTTTTATTCTAGATTAAAATATAGTGGTGATGAATGGCAAACAGATGATATTCAGGCAAAACAACAACATTTTTCTTGCATTACAAACTGAACAGAGTTAAACCTGCCATGTAAGCTGACTAAGATTGAATTGGCTACTTAAAATATGTTATTGAAACGGCAAATAGTTTTGGAAATTAAAGCACATATTAATGCGTTATTCTGCATGACCATATTTTAGATCCCTTAATCCTACCCCATACCTAAATTTAACAACTACATTACCAACTATTAATAAGCTGCAAATTAGGAGTTTACTGAGACAGAAATAGTAGTTAATAGTTAATTAATAGTGAGAACTGGTCCCCAAACTAAAATGTGACCAGTACGGTCATAAAGATACAGACTGACATTAAACCAAAATATAGTATTGCAGAGATTGTCTGTGTTGGAAATGATACTAAACTGTAATATCAGCTCCCGTAACTATGTATGAAACATGACTTATATTATGGATGTACAAGTATTTATGTGTCTGTGCAATGTAATTTCCAAAAGTCCTGAATGCATGTCAGAACACTGTGTGCTGTTTTTAAATAAACGTGTTTCTGTTGTGCTGTGAGGCACATAGCAGCTGACTCAGACAGACATGACCCAGCATGCAACAGGGAGGTATGTTGTCTAAGAAAATATGCGGAGAAATATATACATGCATATATGCAGATTTATACTGTAGAAAAATGAAACAGAAGTAAAATTTTTTTTTTGAAAATCATGAATATATATATATTTTTGTAGTGCTCTGCTTGATTACCAATAATAGAACATCATTATTGTTGTTTTACCTTTGTGTCACTAGGTGGCGGTCTCTCATCTCTGCTCTCTCAAACCAGATATGAGGGCAAGATCTCTCCATTGCACGCTGGAGGACTCCCATTAAACCACCATGAACCTGTCCTACCTGTTTAAAACAAAAAAAAGGGTTTGTTTAATTGCGAGCAATTATTTTTAACTTTGGAACTAAGCATTAATAAGGCAGAGAATGAATTCTTCTGTGACTAAAGCAGCGGTTTTCTAATGTTTTTGGTGTTGCCAAAATTCATTAAATAAACCCACATCATTTACATGTATTCATTTAGCTATTATGTTATCATGTCATCATAAAAAAATCTGCATTTTCTTTCAGCTTCATATATAGTTTTAGTGATGAATAACTAATATATATATATATATATATATATATATATATATATATTGGACAAATTACATCTGTTGAAAAAGAAATACAGAACAAAATATTTAAAGCATTCGAATATGGCTCTTAAAATATGCCAAAAAAATAATTAATTGAATATGAATATTTATATATTTTTGAAAAGCACATTGAAAGACATTAATATCTCAATTAATTTGAGATAAATAATTTTTGTTGAAAAAAAAAACAAACAGAACAAATCATTTTAAGTATTCAAATATGGCTCTTAAAACATCTAAAAAAATTCATTTATTTATTGTATACAATATTTAATATTACTGAAAAATATTTTAGTCTACATGTTTTTTATAGGATGAATAACAAAGAAAACACTTTAAGTATTCAAATATGGCTCTTAAAATAACCCCAAAATAAATTAATTTTGTATCAATATTAATATTTTTGAAAAACATACATTATTGAAAAACATTAATTATCTGCATTTTATTTATTTATTTGTTCACTCATTCACTTATTTATTTACGACTGAATGAATAATGTAAAAATTATACCGGACAATTTTTTTTGACCTGCAGAAGCCCAAAATACCAATTGTGTCTCTCCAAACCTCTTTGAAATTTTCATCCATTAAACACAGGAATGAGAGGTTGGTGACAGTAACCATAAAGGGATAGTTCACCCAAAAATGAAAATTTGATGTTTATCTGAGACTGCAATGGCTGGAGTTAAAAATCATCATATGTGTTCTACTGAAGAAACAAAGTCACCTACATCTTGGATGCCCTGGGGGTAAGCAGATAAACAACCAATTTTCATTTTTGGGTGAACTATCCCTTTAATTCCAAAAAGCACAAGAAGTATCATCAAAGTAGTCTATATGATTTATGTACGCCATTCCTAATCTTCTGAAATTATCTGATTGCTTAATGGGAAAAACAGATTGTAATTTAAGTCATATTCACTCAAAATCATATCAAGTAAAACTGCAGTCCTGAGTGCAATATACAATTAAAAGAGAAGATAAAAGTACACAACCTGTACAACCCTGTATGAGAGTACAAATACCAAGATTTAAGAACCATTGCACTGAAGAGTTATCTCACTCACCATTGCATAACAGCCGTCATTAGCCAGAATAACGACATCAATTGGCGAAGTGTGATTAGCTACACAGATGCCTCCTCTCTTAGGCCTGTTCTGTCTGAAAAAACTATTAGTATAGTGTCTGTACAAGTCTAAACCATATTATTGTTACTTGATTAGACCGGTTGTTGTTAAATGGAGCCCTGAACTCACTTGCTGTGATAGTGTATCGTAGCTGAAAGGCCTCTTGCACAGATCCTGTAGCACATCAAGTGGACCAGGTCACTCAACCAACCCTTCACTCTGAAACAACAGAGGATTGTAATGAATGTGATTAGGATTAAACAACACTTTAACGAATACGCCCAGACAAAAACAACTATAAAAAATGGACTGAACATTATTATTAGATGTCCATTGTTAAAAAGGTTAAAGTGCATTTTTCATCATTCAGCATTGATTAAAAATTATTCTGCAAATAAAGGGCTTTCCTTTGCAAAAAATATGTTTGATGTAAATCTTAACACTGAATTGTTACTAGGAATAAAACTGTGATACCATGCAATTAGCCATAACTGGCATCATGTTTGTAAGAAATAATGTAAAAAACAATTTTTGAACAAACCTATTTGAACAACAAAAATGTAAATATATAAACAATTAAAACTTAAATGCAACCCGAATAGAAATATTAAAAAATAGAAATTTTTACAAAATTACTAAAACCTAAAGAAATACTAAATGAAACTAAAAATGTATATACACATTAAATAGTACTGCCTATATTATGTTGGTGAAAATGTGAAGTCTTGAAAACTGAATTTACTGTACTTAACATACAATAAAAAAGTGACAGAGGTGCCTCAGGTTGAGTACAAAAATATTGCCATCAGAATATTTCATAACATACTGTACATCCCATACATAATGAGTTAACAAAGACTATGGTGATGATTAATAAGCACTATCAGAACTGCTGCATAGTAAGCCAATGGTGCCAATGGTACTTAGGCTTATGACCAACAGAGAACAACTGGAATTGTCAATTATGAATTATTCTTGCATTTGTAAAGCTGATAACAGCACTAAAGCATTACCTGAAATTGGGGAGGAAACCCACCATCGTTGTGCCAATCACCAACCAGCTCAGCCCTATAGCTGTAAGTGTAATCCTACAGATAACAGAAGAACAGGTGCATGATTTTCAGTGAAAAACATTACGACACTATTTCTGTTTTCAGACAGACAATATACTGCCAAGAAAAGAACAAAGCACTGAATCTCACCAATATACTTATGTACCGCTCAAATGTTTTTGAAAGAAGTCTCTTCTGCTCACCAAGGCTGCATTTATTTGATCAAAAATACAGTAAAAAGTAATTTAGCTAAATATTATTAGAATTTATAATAACTGTACTCAATTTGAATATATTGTAAAATGTAATTTATTCTTGTGATGTAAAGCTGAATTTTCAGCATCATTACTCCAGTCTTCAGTGTCACATGATCCTTCATTCTAAAATGCCGATTTGCCGTTAAAAAAACATTTCTTATTATTGTCAATGTTGAAAACAGTTGTGATGCTTAAGATTTTTGTGGAAACCGTGATGCAGGATTCTTTGATGAATAAAAAGCTCAAAAGCACAGCATTTATTCAAAATAGAAACAACAACATAACAAAAATTTTTACTGTCACTTTTGATCAATTTAATGCATTCTTGTTGAAATAAAGTATTAATTTCCTAAAAAAAAAAAAAAGACCCCAAACATTTGAACAGTAGTTTACCAGCTATAAAGTATGAATGAAATATCACTCTACCGTAGAGGAAGCAGTATGCAGTATCTCACGACCACGCCAACTCCCCACAGTACAGTGAGCCTGAGAGAGATGTACTGGAAGTTGTTGTTGGTTCGGGTGAGGAGGTTCCAGGACACCAGCTCCTCTGAGGTGAATCTCTGCGTGACATCGTCTTCCACAATGCTCTCAATGCCTTTCCTGGTGAAGTACAGGACGTCGCTCAGAGTGAAGTCTCCACGCTCGGCCGACTTTGGCCTGTTCCGACGCAACTCCTCGATCTCCTGCTCCAAAGACGAATTATCCCGCTGAATTAAACCTGAGTAACACAGACAAAAGTGCTGGTTAATTATTATCAGTAATGAAATAATGAAAGTCTCTTATGCTCACCAAAGCTGCATTTATTTGCTTTTTAAATTCTGTAACATTGTGAAATATTATTACAATTTAAAAGAACTGTTTTCTAGTTGAATATATTTTCAAATGTGATCTATTCCAGTGATGCAAAGCTGAATTTTCAGCATCATTACTCCAGTCTTCAGTGTCACATGATCCTTCATTCTAAAATGCCGATTTGCCGTTAAAAAAACATTTCTTATTATTGTCAATGTTGAAAACAGTTGTGATGCTTAAGATTTTTGTGGAAACCGTGATGCAGGATTCTTTGATGAATAAAAAGCTCAAAAGCACAGCATTTATTCAAAATAGAAACAACAACATAACAAAAATTTTTACTGTCACTTTTGATCAATTTAATGCATTCTTGTTGAAATAAAGTATTAATTTCCTAAAAAAAAAAAAAAGACCCCAAACATTTGAACAGTAGTTTACCAGCTATAAAGTATGAATGAAATATCACTCTACCGTAGAGGAAGCAGTATGCAGTATCTCACGACCACGCCAACTCCCCACAGTACAGTGAGCCTGAGAGAGATGTACTGGAAGTTGTTGTTGGTTCGGGTGAGGAGGTTCCAGGACACCAGCTCCTCTGAGGTGAATCTCTGCGTGACATCGTCTTCCACAATGCTCTCAATGCCTTTCCTGGTGAAGTACAGGACGTCGCTCAGAGTGAAGTCTCCACGCTCGGCCGACTTTGGCCTGTTCCGACGCAACTCCTCGATCTCCTGCTCCAAAGACGAATTATCCCGCTGAATTAAACCTGAGTAACACAGACAAAAGTGCTGGTTAATTATTATCAGTAATGAAATAATGAAAGTCTCTTATGCTCACCAAAGCTGCATTTATTTGCTTTTTAAATTCTGTAACATTGTGAAATATTATTACAATTTAAAAGAACTGTTTTCTAGTTGAATATATTTTCAAATGTGATCTATTCCAGTGATGCAAAGCTGAATTTTCAGCATCATTACTCCAGTCTTCAGTGTCACATGATCCTT